GGCTGGTCTTCTTCCAGACTTAGACGTTTTGGCACAAAAGCATCTTCAGATGTTTCATCTTTAGCCCCGATTGCTTAATAAAACTTTTTGAGATAATTATTAGGATCAATTTGATGCTAACAATCTCCCCCCAAAGTTTTATGAAGCAAGCATCTTCATGAAGTCCTCAGGTCTTCTCCCCTCTGCTTTTTTGAGAAAAGCTTTAGTGTGCTTGGTATGGATGGAAAATTCAAGCTCCCCCCTGAATGTAGCTCTTTGTTCTTTATTTTCAACTCTTAGATCAAGTCAGATTCAATGTGAATGCAGCACCACTGATTGCACAAGATGCAGCTTTAATCTGCCCACAATCCAGCACATTCTTTGAAGCACAGAATAGCCACACACCCCAAAAGTAGCAAATTTATCCAAAAAGGGATAGATTAATGTGTGAATTACTTGACAAAACAATGCAAACAGTCTTATGACAAAGAAACTTTCATTGAATCGTAAGTTGAGTAGGAATTCAGCTTTAGAGCTTGATTCAATTGAAGATAACTTGAATAACCAAAGCAAACACYATTGWTATWGAGAAGTGRAGAGAAGAATTAACATTTAAGCTTTATGACATCAAGAAACARCAKGTCAATTCAAAGAAAATTGACAGAATTGYTGTTAAGGRCAAAACATGAAGGAAATWGCCATAAACATGTAGGATTGGTGAGTACAKGCAAAGGAAAAACTTAAGCTATTATAGATTCAAATCCACAAAAAAGAGAGAAGATGAAAGAATACTCAAGATATTGGCGATAAATATATGTTTGGCAAATAAAACGCCAATTGCCWTAGGCTGTGAGTACCATGAACYCTTGCTAAACGCCTACGCGTAGATTTGACAAAATCATGGTTCAATAAGTCGACTGTCTCCAAGAAACTCTATAGACATTTAAGCATATGATGAAATCAGAGTTTTTGGGACCAAACTACAGTCGAACAGGAAGCAGTTCATGAGAGTATTTTTCAAGAAAATTGAATCTACTGCCAAAAAGATCGTATCGATAGAAGTTAATCGATTTGGCTCTGATACCACTTGTGAAAACCCAGATTTGACAATAGAACAATTTAATAAAGGAATTCAAGAGAGATTTGTAGAAGAAGAAGATGAAATAGAAATCGACGGTGCTTTCTTTATTGAATATGGA